AAATAAAGTAGAAATCAACAAAAATGAGACTTTATATTATTTTTGATGTAGAACAATGATGGCATCAAAGACTTCAAAAACAATTACACTATTCTAACTATTTAAATGCCTAAAGTCAAATTTGTTGCCACTTTTTGCGAAACAAAAACTAAAAATAATTTTCCCTGTATTTTTCCATGGAAAATTATGACTATTTGGGCAATATAAATAAACAAATTATACTAAAATACATAAAAATGTCCAATATATGGTAAAAATTGGTTAATTAAGTCTGCACAACCATAGTTTGTATGTAAGAAATTTGAAAATCATATTTAGAGCTCTTATTTAGGCATTGAAGCCCAGCATGCATTGCATGAACTTGATTCCCTGTTTCGCAGTTTTGAGTATACATATTTTGTGTAGGCAATTTTAATGCATACTAAAATAAGCACATTGTATACGTGAATTTTCTTCACATTTTTCTCTAACCTTTCCAATTATGATGATAAAGTAAATGTAGAAATACATACGGTATTTTAATAGTTGCATTCTGACATTTGCGCAGAGTACCAGGAGTACTTCCAGGAGCAGTAGAGCTTTTTTCATGCCACAACCATAGATCCACACGATGGCCTAGAAATGAACATTATGAGCAAACCATATATAAATGATCTCAATAAATAGATTCATGTATTGCAATAACTGTTCAATAGAACATTTGACATACATATCATATCACCTGAAATATATATGAATATAGGTATAATTTTTAGAAGATCTATTTGAAATATTTGATCTATTTGGTATAAAATAATCAATCAGGCCAGACTTATTATCCCTTGTTTCGCGAACCCGCCGAATGAACAAGAGCCGAAAATGAAATAAAAATAAAATTTTATTTCAGTAATTTCTCGCGCTTGCCGACTTGTAAGCGCAAAAAATTGCTAAAAAAATATTATTTTTATCTTCATTTTTTTACCCCCGCCGCATAACAAATTCAAGTTGCATTTTCGTGGGAGTATCATGATCAAAGTATCGAAGTCTCGCGCAGATGAGAAACAAGGTTATACATGGAATAACATTTTATTTCATTTCTTCACTTCAATCAATGATCTCATTTACAATTCTTTGAAAAACACACAAATCTAATGGAAAAAAATAATTAATTTTATTTTTTTTCGCCCTCCTCAAAAAAAATGCCTTATAAAAACTCGGGAAACAAGGAATAAAAAAAGTCTGGCCTCAATAATAATAAAGTTACAATGTGTGCATGGCTAGCACATGAAATCAGATTTGAAATCTTAAGGTTATATTAATCGAAAGGTGACTTTCAGTCACATTTACTGGCTTCATACTCAAAATATGATATGTGTCCCGAAGACATAAACAACACATGACAATAACAGCTTTACATTTCCATCCAAAAGAACACCATACATTGTATTCTGAACTTGAAATTACTATAATCCAGACAAGTGGGCAGAATGTAATAATTTCACTGCTGAGAGGGCTGCTGACCACAAAAGTCAAACCTGCAATTTTCCTTATGATGCTAGGGAGTCTCACCAACTATTATGACACACACCCGTAGCTACAGGTGAACTATACAAGCTTAAACTATATAATTAGTTTTCTCATATGCTTTATGTGGGCATTCAGATTGGGAAAGTAGACATCATAATTTTCACTTCACTACACCTTGAATAGTATTTGAATGACCAGTCATGGAAGGCACACTGAAATTTCTGGAGTAGTGAGATTTTCAATGTCAAACTTCAACACTCGTAATTTCATAACTTCTTTATATTTATTGTATCAGTGGGAAGTCCAATAGTGAAATTAATATAACCTCACCCTGGGATATGCATAACTGTTGTTGTACAAGGACCGTACAATTACTGTTAGAATGACATTGAGACAATGTTCAGTGGGCATTGTCACTAATGCTTTCAATTAACTTTGTACAATGGCTGTCTTGAATTGGCCAATGAGTGTTCTAGAATTCCAGTAGTGACCTGAAGTAACCTTGTCATATGGCATGGTTTATGAGATCAACTAAACGAATATTATTATGCGAAAAATTGACCACAAGTTAGGCTACTCATATTCATAACTCTAATTGGCCAAAACCTTTGGAAATTAGCAACAGCCAGGATACAAATTAGTTAAAACATGGTCGCTTGATAGTTACGCCACATAAACCAATCAGGTCCAATTGTTGTGGTTTACACACTTTCACAATCTCTAGACCATAATTTAACTAGTACAGTGAAGGGCATAAAGCTGGGGTCGTTATAAATGTTTTATAAATATACATGTACATTTTTATAAATTAAAATAGATGTTAGAATTCAAGTTAATCATTCAGGAAATAGTATGGTTCTAATTAATATTAATCAGTTCAGCATTATTGAATCAGCAAGCCACAAATTTTGAGTATGTGGGCAGTGACAGTTGCTATGTCACGAGAAGGCATGTGCACACTTTATGGGCGTAGACATTGTTTAGCTCTTGAAACAATCACTATTAAATATTTTAATAATCTGTATTGATAATTTTTTATAAATATTCTCCATAAGCTAAGGTACATCTTTATGCCATTCACTTTATTATCTATATATTTATTCAAAATGCATCTTGTCACTGTAAATACTAATCAATTTAGGATTTATTCAATATTACGCGAATATTACACAGTATTTCACTTTAACCAACATACATATATACATATTAAATAATAGTGTTGAGCTGGTAATTCTAAATAATATACTGTGTACATGTTATTGTTATTATAATGTAGAATGGTATTTTCATAATTATAAAAATTAATTTTGCATTTTGAATTTTATATTAAGGCATAATATTTCAATACATTACAAACAAAAAAATCATAAATTAACGGATGCTATGATAATTGTTGATGATAATTACATATTTATATTAATTTATGAATAATTATTTCACTTGCCGTCCTCTGCTATGACGAAAATATCCGTTTTCTTATCGCAGTCGAAATCGCCAAAAGCCGCTACGACGCCTTCCACTTGAGTTTCGAACACATTGCTAGTGATATCTTTAAACGACTGCTGTGACAGTGGAATGAGCTGTCCTCGGCAATGGGCAGCAACAACGAATAAATAGACAACACATCTCGAAATCAACACGTAATCCATGTTCTGTCCATTTCTCATTTCTCTGATCCGTACTTCCGGGTTTGTGACATTCTCAACTCCAACAATGCCGTAAAAAAGTATATTCAACAAGAACAAGGACAACAACTAATACACGATATAATTGGTACAAATCACCACCATATATGTTTTTCACATATTAATATATATGAATAAACAGTCTGAATAAGCGGAAAGTAAGGAAAAACAGGACAACCTGTTTTTTAGCGACAGTATATCATGCCACTTTACGGCACCATAATTAGAATATACATGTAGGAGAACTAGGACAGTGTGGGATTTAACATCCAAAAAATGTCTGATGACATGAAGGATGTGGCTCAGGAGAAGTACAAAGTGGTCTCAAAGAAACTTGATGGTTATTATAAGATAGGTATGACGAAAATAGTACCATCGCCGTCATAATATTCGTGTTCTCTCAAAACATGACGACCGACAAAAATCGTAATAACTTATGACTAGTATTCTGTTTTGGCTTTGTATATTACTTCATGTCATAAAATGATACTTTTGCCAACAAGACAGACTAAATACATACTATCCAATCCATCGGCTATCCATATAACTACGTTTCAACTAGATTACGTTAAAAGTATATTACTAGGGGCCCAGTTGACTTTGGTCTATATAAGTATAGCAGTTAAAAGCTGAAATCAATTATCATATTGTTACTAGAGTGTGTAAAAACATTCTCATGATTCATGGGCAGGGAACTTAGTGTTTATGCATAGACCTGCACTTCCTTGGTTTCGCAGCGTTTTGGGTCCGGCAAGGTATTTTGCTTCGTCTGTCAATTATATACACATCGTCGGTATACAGTCGGCTCTACCATAGAGCCAGAAACAAATAATGACTTTTCAACAAATAACACTCAGAAAAATTTGATGGCCAGTTCACGAGTGTGAGGACAGCGTTTCATGTTCGATTTGGATTCAATTCACGTACGATTAGTGTTCGATTCACATTTGATTGACGTTCGATTGACGTACGTTTTGCATTGAATTGACATACAAATTGAAATATCTATAATTTACACAAAAGTTGATATATAGCATATTTTTTGTAGGAAAAATAGGGATCAACCTATTTCTTTTGGAGAAAATCATGGTTATAAATAGTCCTACAGTTTCGCTCACATCGGAAGTCACATGGGCTCAAACAAGTATAAAATAGCCCTTGAAACAGACAAGAAACGCATAAATATGTTTAAAAAATTATATAGTTTCAAATTATCACCACTCAATTTAAAAAATAAATAAAATCTTTGAAACAAGGATGTTGATGTTTTTATTTATAATCATTGTCTTTTGACCTTCCGAACATTCGCAGATGCGTCAAGGAACTGTCATTCGCACTATTATAACTTTGATTTTCACAGAAAATACTAAGTTGATCTCTATTTTTTCCCTGCACAAAAATATTGTTAAATTAGCTGAAATTGCTATATATCAACATTTGTGTGAATTATAGTATGTTTCAATGGTATATGAATCGTACCCGAATCAAACGCAAATCGTACGGTAATTGAACAGGAATCACACATGAATCAAACCGAATGCTGTCTTCACACTCGTGCCCAGTTCACAGAGAAACATTGTGCAGAATTATGATATATCAGTGAAAAAAACCTTAGTAGTGCTTTCAAAATAATCATTCGGTACGAGTTCCTTAGGGCGTCGCACCCATAATTCAATACAAAGCGACAACTTTTTCAATTCTTTCATATTTTAGTTGGTTTACTCACCATCCCTCAACAACGGTGGTTTACTGCATTTTAGTTTGAGTAACATTTCTAGCATTCCTTTGTCTCTAACTCTATTGTTGTTATCCATTTTTATAACAGTAAAACAACAAATATTATGTTATCAGAGTCCTATAACTGGATTATTTCCGGTCGATACGTCTGCCATCAACCAAGAAGCTAAAGTACGGGATAGTGTGTACTGTGCAGTAGCATTATGGTCTTTAGCATTAGCATACAGGTAAACTTTGACAACAAGTTCTACTATTTGTCTTACTTATACCCTTACAATTAAAATTAGATAGTGTCATGTGTTATATAAGTCACTTGATTTCATTTGCATGTAGGGGTTGACCATTAGAATCTCGGGAGGGGTATATTTTGATAATAAAAACACACTTAATAAATTATATTAAAAAAAGAAACTTGATGGATGGAAGTAAAAATGAATTACAGCAACATCATACAGAAACAAAAATGTGGCTCAAAAACGTGAAGGAAAAACTACCTGATAATCTGAGGTCAAATATTAATGTAGCATTAATGCAAGAATGTAGAATTAAGTCTTAATTGTTCAAACTCTTGGAACTAAGCTAAATTTGTTAAGTTTACTTGATGGTTTGAATACTTAGTTACATAGCATATCAACGAATCGCTATGAGAAGTAATTTATAAATTTGGAAAATAAATGTTCTGATAATTTAAGTTTGACTGTATTTCTAATGATAAACCAAACACTGTTAGGCCTTAAATAGAATTAATATGGTAATAATAGATAAATTCAAGAATATTGTAATAAATGTTGACCTAACATGTAATTATTGGGGGAATTTTCTCAATTTATTAGCCTCCGATTTTCTGACCAGACCTGGAACAGAATTGTGCATTTTTTGGCATCTTTAAAATTTTGTCTGGCATTGTTTTGTTTTTTCTTGAATGATGGTTAAACACAAATTGATGTTTAATTTAATACAAACTAAATATCACTCATAAATGAGTATATAGTCAGGATGTACACACAACAAATAACTTCATTGTTTTGGAGATTACTGTAAAATACTTTATTTTAGGTGGAATACTTTTTTGCTGAAAATACATTTTTGGTGCTTTGTATGGAATTTATTTTTACTGATTTTTGATGAGTTGAATGTAAAATATAGGAAAAAAGGTATATTCGCTGGTTTTTATTTTCACTGAATCATTTCTTCAGCGAAAATTAATGTCAATTCTAATGTCTGTTCAGTCTGCTCCTAACATGAAATCTTGCTAAAAATTGACAAATGTCAGATACTGTCTGTATGATTCAAAATTATATTGAAATTTAAAGAAAATTTTATAAAATGTGTAAAAATTTACACTGAATTTTTGGTGGGAAAAATACCTGGTGGTCAAAGGTCAAAAGGTTAATTCCCTTAATTGGTGCAGTCATCTATTTTCAGTTACAAATTCTACTTTCATGAAGACAACACAAATACTGTTACTGCCTTCATAGATACTTCACTTTCACATAGTTGTCTTGTAACATTCTTATTTTATTGCTAAACAATTTTCTATTTGCATAGCTGATTATGGGTGAAGTAATATACAATTTCACAACTTTTATTTTACAGGCGTATTGATAATGACCTTGGCAGGACTTATGAACTTGAGCAAAGTGCTGTGAAATGTATGCGAGGAATTCTGTTCTGTTATATGCGACAAGCTGATAAGGTAAAAGCATGGAACTGAGGGAATTCTGCATTTTAGTTCCACACACCAAAGGTTAAAGGTCATGGCTTAGTCTGTGAAACTTATTTTGACCAATAGCATTACAGAAACTCATCAATAACATTCAGACTTTGCACCTGCTAAAAATTCATCCAGACGTTGCGGACACTAAAAACAAAAAACAGCACATTGTTAGAATCGTAACAGTCACTATTTATATCTGGTCATTTATTCATAGACTTTTCCTATAACAATTTTTGACTGTTTTACTGGATTTTGTGTATTTGATGAAGAACTGTCCAATATTATGCTAATTTTGTCAGTAAATTGATCAAATTTATAGTGTATTTTGCTGTAAAAGACCATTTATTAATTTTTCATTTTTTTCCTTTTGCATATTGCAAATGAAAGTGCTGATAAATAGTGTGTGTCAGGGAGGT